TTTGATACTTAAGTACAAAAAATGTCAGATACTTTAAGACTTTTACTCAAGTAATATTTTTAGAGAAGACTTTAACTTTTACCAAAGTATTTTTATGATAAGATACTTGTACTTTTACTCAAGTAATATTTTTAGAGAAGACTTTAACTTTTACCAAAGTATTTTTATGATAAGATACTTGTACTTGTACTTAAGTATCACTTTGAGGTACTTTATACAACAGTGGTTCCACAGAGCAACATCTCCATAAAGTGTGTGACTCTCAAACTCAACTATTTGTTTTCCTACAGGGAGCATTCGGGGGAGAGCATCCTCTACCTGTGGGTGGAAACAATCAGAGACTTTATCGTGGAGAGATCCTACAGCTTCGAAGCAGGTGAGGTGTGAACAATGAAAACTGAAATTCATGCCGGAGGCCACACCTGAGCAGGTCACCTGAAATGCTGCTCACCTTTATACTGCTCAGTGTTCAGTTTCAGCCTGCAGGCCCACCTCTGCAGGGGACCAGATTTCAGAGAACATCTCGTGTTTTTGTACTTTGCTTCCAGAGAGAGAGACTTTTTGTAGTGTTGAAAAACATCTATCTGAACTGTGGCTGAGTTTTTACTCATCGGTTCAGGTCTTGTACCTGACAGTTTATTGTGCAGTCTGCCTTTCAAAAACACAATGAATGTAGAGAACAGAAACATGCTTTTTTAAATTCATTCATTCATTTCATATAAAAATAATTTTATACTAGGGCTGTGAAATTAATCGAGTTAACTCTGATTAATTTTAGTGCTGCATGGGCATGATTAAAAATTTAAATCATGATTAAAATTTACCTGGATAAATAAAAGTTAAATAAATATAAATTAAAAAAACTCCATGTGTAACACATTATGTTCAGTTTTTTTCTTTTTGTCTTCTTATGGCTTATTTTATTTTATTTATTTATGTTTTGCTGACAACTGTGACCTTAGTATCTATCTTTCATTCATCATGTAGAACTCATTTGGAATTAAAATCCTTGAATTCTTGATTTAACCTCATTATTCTGCACAAAATTTAACTGACTCAAATATGTTTGGAGTATTTTTAGATCCTGATTTTTGTTTTTATGCAAGCGAGGTGATATTTTCATGATTTATTATTGTTGTATTTCTTAAGAACCACATTTTTTTCAAAATAAAGACATTAATTAATAACTCAAGTAATTTATTTTATCAAAATGCAATAAA